AGCAACTTGTATATGAGCAGCCTGCAGATACGGTGGAGAGCAAGGTCAGTGCAGCTCCCTGTCCTTGCCAACCTTAGACCCTAGCAAATAAGAATTCTCAGGGAAGAGTACATATGCATGTGTTGATGAACACACACACACACACACACACACACACACACACACACACAGGGTAAGTGTCTAAATGAGAAGAGGAAGAAATCAATCAGAAAAATCCTGGAGCTACACAGTCCACCTACTCAATAACCTCACAGAGATTGAAAACAAAGTCATTTAGCATTCAGATCACTTGTTAATTCTCACCTGACCCTGCTCCAAACCCATTGCTTGTCATCCTCCACATCGACAAGCATGTGAACTTAGGACCTCACACAAATTTCCCAATTTCTCCTGTGTGAGTCATTTACACTTGGCAGGAGAGCACAGTGGCTAAGAGACTCGGCAGTTGCACTGTCTGGGTTCAAGTTCCAGCTGAGCCACTCGGAGCTGTGTGGCCTTGGGCAAGTTGCTGACTCGCTCTGTGCCCAGGTTCCTCACATATAAAATGGGGATGATGATGGTACTTCCTTGCGGGCTGCTGTGCAGTCTAAATGAGCTGATCTGTAAAAAGTGCTTAGAACAGAGTCTGGTACGGAGCTGGTACTCTGTAAGGATGAGCTGTTATCACTCTGCCTACCTGAAATCCTGTCTACATCCCTCTCCACTCATCCAAATCACTGTCTCCTAAAAAGCCAAGCCAAATATTTCACCTTCCACCCGGACGCTTATAAATTCAGATCCAGCACACGTTTTGTGAGGGTCTGCTATGCCCGGCGCTCCAGTAAGAGCAGATGAATGAGACCCAGCCCTGCCCTGTGATCACAGCCGACAAGGGAAAACAGACAGACATTCCAACGATGATCATCACTGTAATTTGGCAAGAACTGTGACTGGCATTACCTACTAACTGTCCCGTCCTGGGCTGCCTGGCTCTCCTGCCTCTCCAATTTGTACCAAGATATTCTGCAGCAAAGGTGTTTGCTCGGTGTTCCCTGAATTGTTTCACACACATACACTTCCATTTGTACAACCTGATAGAAAGGAACTGTTCTGGGCCTGGGCCTTCTAATTCTATCCCCCATCCACTCCACCCCAACAACCATCCTCTACCTACAGGCATTTGGCAAATGCCTACTAATTTGTGGTTGGTTAGGACGTTTAAGCTTCTCTAGCAGAAAATCCGCAGGGCCTGGGAAGCTGGGTTTCTGGTCCGGTATGACTTTGGAGTTTTAATTATTGCTGAGCTCTTCCCATCACCACTTGACATGAACAGGACATTGTGCATTTACAGAATAGAGTATCAGTAGTAACAAAAATAATAAAAGTGAACGTTTATTGAGACTTTTCCACGTAACAGGCATTAGATCAAGTGTTTTAGATGCTTCACAGAATCCTCCCAACAGCCCTAAGAGGAGGTATTATCATCACCCCACTTTGCAGAGGAGGAAACTGACATGCAAAGAGGCTCCCGTGGAGCAAGGAAGAGGCACCGGAAATTGATTCTCTAAGGATCCGGGGAAGCAATATGGCAGTCATTCTTCATTCTCCCCAGTGTTTGGATGGTTCAGCTCCACCCAAAAGGAAAGGGGAAGCCCTGAGCCAAAGGGAAGAGTAAGCCCCTTCCTAAACAGACATGGCCTCCGACAGAGTCCAGCCCCACTGGAATCCTAATGCTCCTCTTCAATTCCCAACTTCTCTACCAGCATGCAACCGGCCTGTGCGAAACGAACACAGACTAGAAAGCCAACTGGCTTTTTCCTTCGCGAGGGGATACTGATGGTTTGCAAATGCACTGATCCAGCAAGAGCTCCAACAAGGCAGTGCCTCCAATCTCGGAGGAAGGAGAAGGGTCCTAAAGAAATGGACCCAACTGACAGGGGAAGGAAGAGAGCTGGGACCCGCTCTATTTTGAAACCTTTAACACAATGATTTCCATTAATACCCTACTGTTGTGAAATCCAAGCAAATAGAAGCTCACAGGAACCACCAGGCATGCAGAGCTTGGGGACTTGGTTTGGGTTATTGTTGATTAAAAAGAAAAAAGGGAATACTTACCCACTCTCCAGCACTAACCAACTTTGCCATAAATCCCACCCCAAAGACAACCCAACTAATTCTGTAGCCTCTCTCCTACTCCCTCCAACTCAAGCTGCAAGGAACTCCCACAGACAGAGAATGAAGGCTCAGACAGAGAATGCTGAAACTGAGAGCTGTATTAAACCTTAAAAGAATGATGTGCTCAGTGGCTGGCTGAGAAGTAGTCTGGGGGCCCGAAAAGGGATCCTAACAAACAGCTGTGACAATTAATGTCATTGCACTGCCAGAGTCTCCGAGAAAATTCCTCATTCATTCAGCCCCACCTCTGAACATTTCATTCAATTCACTGGCAGCAGACCTGGGGTCAATTTACCCAGCGCAGTAGAGCAACATCTGCAGTTTCCTCAGTAGTGTGAAGAGTGAGTAACAGCACAGGTAATCAATGTGAGTAAATAAAAACCTGTGGTGCTGGAAACAGTGAGGGGAGGAGGAGAAACACCAGGAAGAAACACTAGGACCCTGGTGGTGATGGTGATACCCCCAGAAAATGCATCCCCCACCTCCAAATGAATTCTGTAAATATATATCAACAAACATGCAGGGGATTATAAGTAACTCCATCACTGAATCTCTTTTATTGAATTTCTAAATAATAACAACCCAATATGCCCAGGGTTACCTATATCCAACAGGTGGAGTGAATTGCTAAAATGCTGTTATAGGTTTTACCTGTAGGGCTGCCCATGGCAGTATAGTCCGAAGGCAAGATCACATTAAGAGACATAAGATGAAAGAAGAATTTTTCTGATTCCAACCCTGAATTGGTATAGAAAAGGCAATGAAGTTTCCCCAAAGACAAATGAGAAATACAGCCTTTTGTTTGCTTGGACTTTTTTTCTATTAAGAGGATCTTATTAAGCATTCTGATGGGGCATGAACAGAAGCTCATTCTATACTCTAGAGATATAGTTTGAATTACCAAAGGTGAGATAGCTATCTTCAGATACAGTGAGCAATATAAACACAATCTGGCAAAAAGGATCACGGGTAAATTAAATCCGTCGAGGGCCTGGGCCTTAGCACTGAGATGCCCTGACAGAGCTCCCTTAACTGAGCTTTCGGTGAGAAACAGGAAGATGCAATTACGGTCTTCCTGAAAAATAAGCAATTAATCACATCCTGTTCAGATTCATTGCTGTGTGCCTAAGATCCCCCTCCCCTTCCCCCCCCCCCTATCATTCTGCCTTTGACCCTAAAATCTAATTCCCTTGAGCCCTCTTTGGTTTTTCAGATCACTGATCAGCACCCTAAGCTGCTTCATTCTGACCTGGCCAGCCCACTACTGACCAGCACAGAGCTCTCCACATGCCTCCTTGCAGTCCCATTTGTGACCTTCAGTATGCTGCATGTGTCAAGGTTAAGCTGCTCAGGAACCATGCATCCTTCAGTATCAGGCCTCCACATTTGCCCTGGCCCTGATGCCAGTGCAAAACCTTGCAGCTCTGCTGTGCCGTTTCAGATCCATCTGAGGGCACATTCAACAGCTAGTTTGCTTTCTGCCTCTCTTCCCATCATCAGATCCCTTTGGAGGTTGCTGAGCAAATTTAGACAGAAAAGCACAGCCAATGCTTACCAAAATCCAACCCCAAATTTTAAACCCAGCACCCAGGCAGGGAGGAAAGAAGGACCACTTCAGTACCTTTCTAAATAAAAATCTGCCTCAAATTCAATCGCAGCCCTCAACTCTATCTCATGTCAAGTGCCCAATTCCCCACAATAGTCTGAAATCTTTTCAGGAACATTACTGTCAAAATAGCACCCAAGGGGAGGCACCATCCAAGAACCAACATGATATCCCTTCAAATTGATGTCTAAGCTACAAGCACAACAAATCAGGAATGAATGCTGCCAAGGAGAAAATCAAATTCTGCTCATCTCCTAAGTGGGCAGCGACTAACTGCCCAACATTACCCTGAGAGCCTCCAGGTGAGGAGCCAGGGCCGGTCCAAGAACTGCCTGGGAACTCCCGTCCCTGAACACAGACTGTCATCAGATCGGGAGAACGAAGCGAGACACTGAGCTCCTGCATTCACAGAGGCTACTGCATTTTAGACAGATCCAGGAGGCGGAACCCAGACCCTCCTATCCCAAGTGCCACGCTTATGTGTTTTTTCATTAGCTTAAAAAATGAAGAAAGACTTCTCATGTCGAGAGGTTTGCAGTAATAGTACACTTCCATTTCCTAGTCTCTTGGTCTGTTTGGTTCTTCCCCTGCGAAGCCCAGTTCTGGAAATCAGTGACTCGCTGCATCACACTCCCTCCCTCCCGGTGGCTCATGGTAGCGGGGCTTTCTCTGGCTGCCGGCGCTCTGCCAGCGCCCTGATCTCCAGCAGACTTCGAGCGGAGCCGAGCTCGGCTCTGTGAGAGCTCCGGCACAGCCACTTGAAGCTCTGACAGCTAAGCCCATCAGGAACCCTGAGCCACAGCTCCTCGGTTTTTTGCAGTACAGCCAAGATAGCAACCTCCAGCTCCCCGCCTGAGATGGAGACCTAGGTGGACAGGTACATAGATGGACAGCTCATCTTAGCCCTGCACATTTCTCCCTCCACCACAGCTCTGCACTGCTAGCTGCTTCCCACTATCTCCTCCCTCTAAAGAAGACCGAAGACTAGGAAACTAACCCAAAGTACCCGATTGACAATTATGATCCTGCAGACAGGAAGAGGTACCTTAGACACAGCAAAATGAAAATATTAACAGTCAACCCCTCCCAAGCCCAAACAGGTAAATTGCGTTCCCAATGCAGGCTGGTTAACAGCTTCCCCCCACCACACTCCCGCCACCCGACCACCACCACCACCACCTTGGGGCTCTGTAGGTCTTGCATCAATGCAGGTCCCTTAGAAAGTCAAATTCTCACTTACTCAGATCTACCAAGAATCCCCAGTGCCTTGCTATACGAAAACCCCACAAACGGCAGTTCTTCGCCCGAGAAGCCTGAGGGGTTCAGCTGGCACGGAGAGGATGAAACCCACGAATTCTTCTCTGGTTCATCAAAATTGGAGGTGTCATCATCAGACTTGAGGGTGGGAACGAAGGGGGGAGGAGCTGGTTAAAGAAAAACAAGAAGAAGGTGGGGAGAGAGAGAAATTCAGCCAGATTGCACACTGTTGCGGAGAAAATCCTCCGACTCCCTCAGCGTTTGCGATGGCACTGCAGCGCCTGCTTTCAATCTAGCTGCACAGGCAGCCCCTGCCTGGGCTCGGCTCTTACAGCAACAAGAGATTAACCCCTTCTCTGCCAACATGGCCACCCACCCGCAGACAGGCTGCCTTCCCTGCTGGGATAAACTCAAACAGGTCACTTGATGGGAAGAAAGCACTTGGGGAACTCATGTGAGCAAGCCGCTCGTTGCTGGTATTTCCAGAGAGCTTATACAGAGCATCAGCGGGTGGTGCCAGCATGCCCGATGACCTAAACCTATTCATTTCCTCTTCCAGACAGGTCTGCATTATTAATATTTAGTGCTATTCGTTAAATAAGGTTGAAATAAGATGGGATTTCTATGTTTTGTGGATTAGCTGGGATGAGAGGGAGGAACAGGAAAGAGGATTTGGGAGGTATGTAACTCCTGTTAGGATAGCACTGCAGTCTAGCTCATTCATATCCAGATGAGTACACACGGAGCTCTTATTAATCACTTTTTTTTAGTTCGTTTTCCCTTCTCTCCGGCTCAAGCATGCCCTCCCCGCTCCAAATCCACCGCAGTTTAATCAGCATAATGAAACGCGAGCCAAATAAAGTTCTTCCCCATGATCTACAGCACCCCTGCGCTGGCGGATGCACCGAAGGACATCGGCGTCCTACCTCCTTAAGGCATGACTCCTGGCCAGGGGCATCTTACATCTTTCTCCGCTCGCTGCAGACCTACTCAACTCTCTCCAAGTCAGGGAGGAGGAAACTCATCCATCCGTCAGCAGGAGGCTGCCCATGGCGGTGGGCTCCCGGGGGTGCAGCCGGCCAGAAGCGTTACCATGGCTGCAGGCTGAAGCGTCTGAGGCAGCCTGGCCCAGCGAGTTGGCGAGCTGGGCATCACATCCCCCGCAGTGCAGGCTTCATGCTCCCCACTCCGGGCGAGCTCTGGCTGTAACCCCACCTGGCCGCCTGCGTGGCAGGGGCCAATGCTGATCTGAGTGACAGGGCAGCATGAGTCACTGCCGGAGTTGGCTACAGCGCCCCCTAGGACAGTTGTCACAGCCCTTCACAGTCCAGACCTCTTGTTTAACTCCTTGTTTCCTGGACAAAGCCGTGGGCCAGATCTGAGCAGCATCTGTTTTCTATTTACAGACTCAAAAGATTCTGGCTGTTTCCAAAGTTCCCCAATGACAACATCTGCAGCAGCACTGAGAAGTAGTGGAGCCGGGAAGGGATGTGGAGGGCGGAGGAGAGGAAGGGGGTCTGGCTGCTCCCAGTTAGTGCAAAAGAGCATTCTCAGAGCTTCAGGTGCATTGAGATGAGGTGGGAGATTGAAAATGTAAAATGTGCACTGCCGGGAAATTATTTAACACCTCCAAGCTCTCAAGAGAATTTAAATGTTCTCTGTATCAGAATCTACTAGCTTAACACTTTAAAAATTAGCTGATGGGGGGAAAAAATTACATTGAATGCTTCAGCCTACATCCCAGGCATACTTCCATCAACACAGCCTCAAATCCAATCTGATTTCAATTACCCAATATATTTTTTTAAGAAAAAAAAAATTAATGAAACTACATCTCATAAGAATCAAAAAGAGTTTTCCATTCTAAAATAAGGAAACTCAGATAAAAACAAAAAATGTATGAAGAGAGATTTGCAGATAATAACAGCATAGAAACATCGTGGTTATGGCACCTACTTTGGAATCTGACTAAGCGGATTCAAGCTTTACCACTTAACAGCTCTGTGACCTTGAGAAAATTACTTAATCTCTCTGAGTCTCACTTTCAATACAGAGATAACTTCCTCAAAGGGCAGCTGGGAGTTTTAAGTGAGAAGAATCTGTATAAAGTGCCTGTACAGTTCTCAACACACATTAAGCACTCCATGAAGACTGCCTACTGTACTACTGTTTATGACAGATGAGATACATGTTTAGAACAGATGCTGCAGGTACTGAAGTCCAGTGAGATACAGCAAAATCTATGTTGAATATTCTTCTTTCCTGCACACGACACCAACATACTCATGCGGATGTTTGTGCTAATCATTTAATTATATCATTTAATTCCTAACAGAGGTTTAATACCCTTTCCACTATATCCTAATCCAGCGGTAGCCAACCTTTTGGACCTCACAGACCACCAGTGGTCCATGGACCACCAGTTGGCAACCGCTGAACTAATCTATCTTTAGGAGACTAAAATAGAATTTACTTCTGAATGAAGAGTATGATTAATATAGGGGTAGAAGCCACCCTCTGTGAAATAATTATGATTTAGAAATTCCATACTATAAAATAAGAGTCCTCTTTAATAGCCCATCATGTCAAAATTTTTAAAAAGGGCCAGATAAGCTACAATAAAAAGAAGTCAACGTAAAATATACCAGCTGATAACGGGTGAGATATTCAGAGGACAGATTAAAAGCCAGAGATGTAAGCCTCCAAACAGGCAGTCAATTGAGTGCAACAGGAAACTCTGAAAAGAAGAGGCCCTAGGAATCACATGTGGGCGGGAAAAGGGCCACTGTCTCAGGTCAAAGAGAAGTGGGGAAACTGGAAACTGGAAGTGATGAGGATGCTCACCCTTGACCAGAGCCCTTTAGGGGGAAAGAAACAGGGGTGGCTACTACACTGTAAACCTGGGTAGAGTGAATGGTGTGGGAACTATAAGGCAAGAAATGAACATCAATACTGGTCCAGGATCACAGAGTCCTTAGGGTACCCACAGACACAAGTGGAGAATAACTTGTAGGGACATTCTCACAACCCAGCACACACACACACACACACACACACACACACACACACACACACACTAAATTAGTTCACAATAAAAAAGTAAAAACTATCAGCTACACATAACAAAGGGAAAAAAAACATCCAAACGATCATGATGGAGCATGAACAGGTATAAGAAATGGGAAAATTTGCCCTTCAAAAACTGCAGATAAAAGAACAATCTAAAATGGACCATAAAAAATTAGTAATTTATTATCAGGTAAATGAGTAGAAATTCTAATAAAAGAACAAAATGCTTTGAAAAAAGGACCAAGCACATTTGAAAGGAAGTAAGTGAAACTTATAAAAATGAAAAGTATTAGTACTGAATTTAAAGCTAAACATTTATTGGATGCATTAAGTAAAAGATTAGACACAGCTGAAGAAGAAATTAGTGAACTGGCAGTTAGATCTAAAGACATCACACAGACTTATGCTTCCAAAGTGTAACATGTAGGCTGGCAACTTCACCATCGCCAGGGAGTTAGCTAGAAATGCAGAACCCCAGGCCCTGCCCCTGCCCAGGGAATCAGAAGCTTCATTCTAACAAGATATGCAGGTGATTCATGAGCACGCTACAGTTGGGAACATCCTCCTTATGAACGCAACACAGAGAGACAGAGAAGACATGAGCAGTCAAAGGACAGAGAATAACAAGGTTCAATACACATCTAATTGCAGCACCAGATAGAGTGAGCAGCAAACAATCAAAATCTAGATGCCGGATTTTAAAAGAATTTTGGAAAACTTGGCCAAGTCTAAAGACCACATCAATCTTAGGGAATTAATTCTCCTTTTTCTCGCACATTATGGATAATGGCCCTTATTTGATCCTAATAAATTGTAATATTTTTTGCTTTAAAAAAGGTAGAAAGCCCTGGCTGGATGACTCAGTCCCATACATCAGAAGGTTGTAGGTTTGATCCCCAGTCGGGGAGCATACAGAAAGCATCCAATCGATGTTTCTCTCTCACATCTCTCTCCCCGCTAGCTCACCTCTCTACCTCTCTCCAGCCCTCTCTTTCTAAAATCAATAAGCATGTCCTCAGGTGAGGATTTTTAAAAGTATTTATAGGTCATTGAATCTATATCTATGTTGATGGAGTCTGAGAATATAGCATCTGCTAGGAGCATAGTAGGTACACAATAAATATTTACTGAACAGACATATAATTAAATGACTAGAAAATACCTCTTGCAATGAGAGCACGTAGCCTAATACAGGCTATGAGGAAGTTACTTGATGTTTGAGTTAAATTTTAAGGCCTCTTTATTTAAGGTGGAGATTGTTCTGTCTGAAAAATATGTTAATGAGTGCCTATATTATTTTCTGTTACAGTATTACAAAATCATCATCTCCCCCACCAACACACCCACCACACTCAATAATGACAACTAAGAAACCACATATTAAGATCTATTTTTCATTGGCAAAAGCCACTAAGAAAAATATAGAAAAATATGCTTTCCTACATATTTTTAAATAAATCAGCCTTGTGCTTGAGGTCACACCAGGGCACTTTCTCCTTGGTGGCAGGGGCTATCCAAATAAGTTCTGCAGGGTTGTTTTTTCCTGCTGGTTATATAAGATAGATGGCAAAACAAGGCTTTCAGAAACAAAGAACTATTTTAAGAACTATAGTTAATCTCTTTCCTATAAATTCTTTTTTTTAAGTCCTGAGATTCATTAGAAGCTTTGAGGGAGGAAATGTATTGCCTTCAAAAGTATTCAAAACATAGCCCTGGCCAGTTTGGATAAGTGCTTAGAATGTTGGTCCTTGAACTGAAGGGTCGTGGGTTCAATTCCAGTCCAGGGGACATATCTGATTGCAGGCTCAATCTCCAGCCCTGGTTGGGGCATGTGCAGGAAGCAACCAATCAATTTGCCTCTTGCACATCAATGTTTCTTTCTCTGTGTCTCTTTCCCTCCCTTCCACTCTAAAATATCAATAGAAAAATATCCCTGAGTGAAGATTAACAAAAAAACACACAAAAGACTTTCTAATTCTGTTGCTGTGTCCATCACCTGCTTTCCCCATAGGAACACCAGCTCCATGAGGGAAGGACAGTGCTATCCTCCACGGCACACCTCACAGCTACAGCAGTACCTGGCTGTCCTTGTTCCATA